ACCTGACACAGTTTTCAGCTTTTGATTCCCCGGAGAGAATCTAGCTGTTACGGTGACTGACGGCGGTCAGTCACCTTTACTCTCTGTCTTTTCTCAGTCTGCGTTCGCTACTGAAACGGGTGGAAACTGTTAGTTCCTAAAAGCTTAGAGAATCTATGGTCCGCCCTTCAGAAAGTTAGATTAGACAAGAACTTATCAAGGAAAGTGTTAGTTTCAGAGCTCTCTGTGCCTCCTGAAACAAAACAAAGATTATTTGCTGCTGCTGTGTGGTTCAGAACAACACATTTCATGACCCATTTAAATTATCTGGTGAGTACTGTTTAAAACATAACTGAAAGAAAAATGAATTGCTTCAAGTTCAAAACATTTGCAAATATGATTCAGACAAGTAAAACATTGATATTTCATCAACTTAAACCATAAAGATTATTTTAGTTAAATAAGAATTTTTCCCACAGAAAAAAAACATACATAGCTGAAATCATACTGAGGGAGAAAAGAGATCTGTCCTCTCTTCTCCTGTAACTTTGATAAACATTCTCTGATTATCAAAATGCGTAATACTTTCAGTTAAGAGACTGCTAAATCAAATAAGAGAAGATTCTTCTGTTTTTATCTGATTTAGAAGGAAAGTGGCCTTGGGTGGCCTAAATACAGTTCTAAGTGGAACAGAGTTTTTGTCCATTAGAAGGCCCATCAGAGGTCTGAGAGTCCAAGATAGTTCCTTGATAATTTGACTCGAGGTGACCCCTACAGCAGTAAGTTTTCGTCCATATTATTTACCAAGAGAGTTCACCAGTGTTATTTTGGCAGCTGTTTGCATTCCACCCTCAGCTGTTGCTGACAATGCATGTGATATCGTCAGTTCCGTTGTTGCTAAGATACAGACACAACACCCCAATGCATTTGTGGCAATATCTGGTGATTTTAATCATGCCTCACTCTCTGCTACACTGCCAACATTTCAACAGTTTGTCAGCTGCTCTACCAGAGAAAACAAGACATTGGATTTGTTTTACACAAATGTTAAGGATTCTTATATAGATAACGCAAGACCTCCTCTGGGTAATTCAGGTCACAACCTTGTTTATCTCTGCTCAGAATATAAACCACTTGTTCAGAGACAACCTGTAACTACAAGGACTATGAGAAAGTGGTCACAGGAAGCAGAAGAAGCCCTACAAGGATGTTTTGAAGCTACAGATTGGATTGTTCTTTGCCAGCCACATGAACATGACATAAATGCCATGAGTGTGTGACTGACTATATAAACTTCTGTGTGGACAACACCATCCCCAGCAGAATAGTGAAATGCTTCCCTAATAACAAACCCTGGATCACCAGTGAGCTAAAGGAACTTTTAAACAAGAAAAAAAGAGYCTTTAGGGATTGAGACAGGGAGTTATTGAGGAGTATACAGAAGCAGCTCAAAATCAAGATCAGAGACAGCAAGGAGGTTTATAGAAGGAAGCTGGAGAGTAAACBGAAAAGGAACAATATCAGAGATGTGTGGTCAGGGATGAAGAAGACCACAGGTTTCAAGCAAAAGGAGAATCGGATGGTTGGAAGCCTGGACAGAGCAAATGAGCTGAACACATTCTTCAACAGGTTCAGCCATTAATTCAACCATTAATAATTTATCTTTGCACCAAATATTCTTACAGCATTTGTTGTAGGTGGATGTTTCTGCATCTTATTTTGTAAAGTGACACCAAACTTTGGACTGTTTTGCTTTCGACATGTCAACTATAATATATAATATATAACTGTTAACTGCAGCAGCACCTGTTTAGTCCCTCTCCATGAACTCGGTTTTACTCAATTCATTTTGGGTTGGGTCAGTTCTGTTAAGCGTCCGTGTGTCTCCACGCAGTGGATGTGACAGTAGTCCGCAGTGGCTTCAGCTGTTGTGTTAAAAATAATCATGAAATAAAATTTAAAAAGCCATTGTGGTCTTAACGTTCAGACTTCACTTATTTATTTATTTATTTATTTTCACGGTGCTGTTTAGCTAAGTGCTTGTGTAACAGTGTGGCCAGTTTGTTGGAAACCGCCCGTGATCTGATCAACTTCGTCTCCTTCACCTCTCTCCAGGAAGTGTTTATAAGTTCTGCCTTTTTCAAAAAGGCAGTTTTATTTCACCATCTTCATATCACGCTGCGCACTCGTATTCCAAAACAAAACCAGCTCTCTCTCGAGGAGGAAATTTACTGTCAGTCAATCCAAGAGTTATCCATGGGCAGAATTCTGCTGACATTAAAATCATAAGCGTCCTGTACTTGCTTCTACCCGAACCACCGGAGAGGAGAGACAGCGCGGCTGTGGAGCGCGCTTGGAGAGGCGCATTGGGCCAAGACCGAGCCCAGTCAAACTGCACACAAGAGAGTCCGTGGAGATTGTGTGCTGTGGCTGTCACTGTTAACAATGAACACCAGAGGCGCAAATTAACAGCTTTCTTTGAGGCACCGAAATAAAGCACCGAAGTTAGAGATGTGTTTTGGTCTGTGTACTACCGTGGATGTTCATCCCGGTGCCATAATAGAACCGAGTTTTGGTACCCAACGCTAGGGAGACCATTAAGTTTTTCATTATCCAATCCCCCGGTTTGCCCGTTGTTTTGGGGGCCTCCTGGCTGAGAAAGCATAACCCTCACATAGACTGGCAAAATAACAACATCCTGGGTTGGTCCAACCATTGTCTCTCCAGTTACTTGAAGACTGCTAATATCTTATCTGAGTCAAAAGAAATAAAGGAGCTTTCTCCAGATTTGTCTCTTGTTCCTCATCATTACTATGATCTGTCTTAGGTATTTAGTATATCTAAAGCAGCATCGTTACCTCCTCATAGACCATATGATTGCGCGATCGACCTTCTTCCAGGCACCACACCACCCAGGATCGGGCTGCCATGATTCCATCTGCCTTCTAAGTCGCACAGCCATGCCAAAAAGTCTGGAGAATGCTAGGACTCAGCTCCTCAAGTTATCAACAGTCTACATGCGGACAGCCAATTGCCACAGGATTCCTGCTCCCAACTACCAGGAAGGACAGAAGGTTTGGTTGTCCACTAAGGACCTACCTCAGGGTGTAGATTGCAGAAAACTGGCACCACGTTTCATCGGCCTGTTTCCCATCTCCAAGGTGGTAAACCTGGTGGCCGTCAAATGAAAACTTCCCACATCCATGAAGATTCATCCCACTTGCCATGTGTCCCGGGTCAAGCCCGTCCAATTCTCACATTTTTGGATTAACTTTTTTTGTTTTACTTCATCTGTTGGTTTAGTTGTTGTAAAACACATTTTTTATATATCTTATTCGTGGATTGATTCATTGTGTACGTGATCCAGTCTTAAGTTTTCTCTTTTAGGTTTTTAGATACAGTATTCATATCATGTTGTGTCTCTTTACACATACAGTATCTGAGATGTCAAGTTGTTCTGAAACAAATTTTTACATCTTAATCATGACTTTTTCCCGTCACACTCACCAGTAACTTGGCCATCGGAGGTCGGTGAGTCCACAAACGTGTCACAGGCCACATGTTGTCCTTTGTTGTCTTGAAAGATGTTCTCCAACTGTTCCAACAGCTCAGAAGGTTTGGTGTTTCTGCTAAATGAAAAATGTCCTCTGCACTTCTTCACCATGTCCTCTGAGGTCGTCAGGTCCATGTAGTTAGCACCGACACCCACAGCTCCCTGTGTGGGGGGTGCGAGCAGGACCAGTGAATGGTCAAATGGCCGATCGTTGAAATACTCAAGGATTCTGCAGAGGCGGAAATTGTCTTCCTCAGTGAAGGTTTCAGGCTGCAGAACCAGCAGGAACACATGGGGTCTAGGACCAGAAAGCCTCCTGCATTTCTCAATGTGTTGTGTGAGTTTGTACTGGGACACGTTGGGAACCAATAGATCTGGAGTGTTTATGAGGATCAGTTTCTTCTTCTTCACCTGTCCTCTGATGCTCAAACAGGTTTCTGGTTCCTCCTTGGTGTTGAACCCGGTCTGTCCCAGGATGAGGTTTGCAGCCAGGCTCCGTGCAGGCCAGCTGTTCCCCATGAGAACAACCTTCAGCTCAGACACTGAAAATAAAGAGAGATCATGTAAAAAGGTTGTGTCTCTAAAAGAGCTCACAAATGATGACATCACTTCCTAAAGTTAAGTCAGTGGCTGATCAGTGTAAGAGCATCAGTCATGTCTTTAAACACAGATGGCTGATGCACACGTACATGTCAAGTTGTACGGATTGTCCATAATTTACACAGATTTTCTGTGTTACCACGGACTTGCTTCCTGTTGATGAAGGAACTGCATAAAGATTAGCTGAGAGGTGATGACGTCAAGAGCTTCCCCTTCCTCTACGCCATCCAGCCTGCCTGCTGACTGATGCAACATATCAGCCTTTAGAGTTGTTTGTTTGTACTTGATCTAAAACTTTGTGAGGAGTTTTGTAGGGGTGAGCTATCATTTATTTTGAATATATTTTTCTCTTGTTTTTGGTAATTACGAAGGAACGATCCTGTATTTCATTTCTATTTAATTTTGAGGTAAGAGATAAAATTATTTAGATTCATTTTGTTTGTTATTTTGGCCTTTGGCTCACGTTGAAGTGAAGACACCAGTTTTGTATATACACAAGCATTGTGAATAAAAATCTCACTTTTTTTCTTTTCATCAATCAGTTTTCCAGTGGCTCCTTTTTTCATTTTTTATTTGTTGAATGGTGCAGAGGTTGGGAATTTTTCCACCTTTTGTTATGTCCTGGTTGCTCCTAAACACGGCGTAACATCTGTCATTTTGCAGGCATATGGACGTATAGAGCTGTCTTACAGAATTTTTCATATTTTACGGATTTTTTTTTTCAAAAACTCAAATGCACTTTAAATATAAATTCATGCTTTTAAAAGGTCAGAAAAAATGGATGTATGTAAACTAAAACAAGTGACTCTTCAGTGATTAATATTCAGAGAAAGTTTAAAATTTAAATTCAGAACGACTCACTGTTTGGTGGCACATCTTTGCTGTCCTTGCGGATTGACAAATCCATATTATGTGCCTCTGAAAAAAGAACACAGGACCACGTTGGCACAAAGAGTTTCACAAATGATGACACATTGAATTATAAATATTTTTAATGAATCAAATTTATTTGGTCAGATCCAAAGAACAATTAAAATCCTTGACCAAAAGGGAAGAGGAAGATGCTAATGGCTTATTGGCCATACTATTCCTTATGGATTCCTCAAAACACACACACACACACACACACACACACACACACACNCACACACACACACACACACACACACACACACACACACACACACACACACACAAACAAAAGCCAATCCCACAATAAAGCAAAAGAAAGAAACAAAAAACCAAATAGAACATCGGCACTAAATAGACAACACTAATGTCCTCCCCACACACACATCACACAAAGTCATTATTACCTCTACTGAGTCTCTCCTGAAGAACTGAACTTCTCGCCCTATCTTTAAGGGAGAGTCCAGCTACCCTGCAGAGAAAATTCATTTTGACTGCCTGTATCCATGATCTTGTTCCTTCGGTCACTACCTAAGTTCATGACAATAGATGAGAGTATGAACATAGACCAACTAGTAAACAGAGAGTTTTGCTTTACAGCTCAGCTCCCTCTGAACTACAACTGACCAGTACAGTCAAAACAACAGAAGCTGCACCAGTCCATCAATCTCATGCTCCAGTCCTGCACTGTGAACGAAACCCCAAGGTAGCTGAACTCCTCCACTTGAGGCAGAACTTCACCCCCATCCCAGAGAGTAATCCACCCTTTAGGTGGATTGACAGAGGACCATGGACTCAGATTTTGAGGTGCTGATCCTCATCCCAGCTGCTTCACACTCAGCTGTGAACTGCTGCAGCGAGAGCTGAAGATCACGACACGATGAAGCTAACAGAACCACATCATCTACAAACAGCAGAGACGGAATCCTAAGACCACAGAACCAGACTCCCTCCGCCCCCTGGCTGCACTGAGAAATTCTGTCCCTAAAAGTTATGAACAGAATCAGTGACAACAGGCAGCCTGGGAGTCCAACTCCCACACTGACACACTACCAGCAATGTGAACCAAACTCTTGCACCGCTTGTATATTGACTGAATGAAAAAAGCCATGTGAAGTGAGTATCAGTAACATGGAGGCAGGGCTTAAAAGCCTGAATTTTGCCTGAAACTCTCAGACTGTTGAAGTCTCTTGTAGGAGAGACGAAACGTTTCATTAGAGAAGAACCCGTCCAGAAGACCTATACAATTTTTTTTCTTTTTGATTTTTTACCTGGATTACTGAGATGCATCAGGACATTGACTGAATGGCCAGCAACAACGGACCCACAATCCCATACTTACAGAGCTACCTCCACAGTGTACCTCAAAGAACACTGTTGAATGCTTTCTCCAAGTCCAAAAAACAAATGTAGACTAAGTTGATATCAGAAAGAAAAAAATCAGTAGGTCCTCTGGATGGTTCTTCTTTAGTGAAACGTTTCGTCTCTCCTCCAAGAGACTTCTTCAGTCTGTTGAGTTTCAGGTGAACTCAGCCTTATAAGCACTGCCTTCACATGGTGGACAAACAGGCTAGTCACATGCAAAATAGGGCAATCGCCTAACAATAGGCTTCATTAGTTCTATTGTTCATAGAGGGTCATGTGCCCCATCAGCTGACTTATTGGTTTGGATGCTGTGGTTCTTAGGTGTCGTGATATGTGGATGTAGTGAATGCAAGCGGGGTTCAACATCCCATTGTTTTTGTCTCTCTTTCCCTCTTTTTGTTGGTTATCGTTGGGGCCCTGATTCACACCTTTTGCTCACAGGGGGCAGAGTCATACTTGCAAGAAGAGCATTGTAGGAGGAGGACAACTGGACACGATGGCCTCCACCTCTGTTTAATGGTGGACGGAAAGATCTCTTTCAAGGATGAAGATGTTCTCATCCTTGATAGAGAGGAATGTTGGTTTTAAAGAGGAGTAAAGG